TAATTTTTTCTATGTATATATATTTTTAGTTGTCCAGATAATTTCTTTCTATTTTTTGGTAGAGACGGGGTCTCACTCTTGTTCAGGCTGGTCTCAAACTCCTGACCTTGAGCGATCCACCCACCTCGGCCTCCCAGAGTGCTAGGATTACAGGTGTGAGCCACCGCGCCTGGCCCAAAAGTACTTATTTTGTATCAGAAACTACTTATTTGAAAGTAAAGATTATGTGCCTGGTAAAACTATGTTATTTATTAATAATTAAAAGAATAGGCTCAGGGTACCAAAGATATGGCTATTTCAGGTAAATATAGTTTGAACAGAATAGTTTTATTAAATGTGAACAGAAAAAGGTCAATATTTCTAAATTTTGCATATATTTGATTTCAAATACATATATATGAACTGCAAAAATAAGATGGTAACTGCAAAAATAAGATTCTACATTATAGAATTATGTACATTTAAAATGGGATTAAATATACTTTATATAGGTTATTTCCATCTATGTTCATAAGTGGTATTAGCCTATAGTTTTTTTTTTGTTTTTTTTTTTTTAGTATTTATTCTTGCCTGGTTTGGATATTGGTATTATGAACTTTAAGTACAAGAAGTGAGGAAGTGAGGCCCAACTGGAAGACCCCTTTTCCTTTTATTGAAACAGAGTGTGTAACAGGAGAATCAGCACAGCATTGCCTTGAATTCCATAACTTACCTGTGTTTGTGTGTGGTTATCAGTCTATTCAGGGTCTGTAGTTCTTTTTTAGCTGATTTTGGTAATTCTATTTTTTAAAGAAAAATTCCTTTTCCTCTTCATCACCATTTTTTAAAATATGCTATAATTTTTCAATGTTCCCTACATTTTCAGTTATGTTTCATTTCTTATGACTCTTTTCCCAAAAGAGTGAACAGAGCTTCAGAAATGCTATAAAAGAAAAAGCCCATTTGCCAGGCAAGATGGACTGGGTTCCTGAAATAAATAAAGAGAGGAGACTCATTCTGAAGAGTGTGTTATACTTAGGTGCAGACATATGAAGTTTATTCCTGGTTTCTACAAGAAACGATGTGTAAAAGAGAGCTTGAGAAGAGGTAAGCCACTGTCTACTGTCCTGAGGTTAGGTAGAATAGAAAGACTGAGTATTAGAGAAAAAGTAAAACAGAAAACGTTAAAGTGCAGGTCAAATTGAAATTCAAGGGAGCCAGTTTCCAGAGTGAACAGATTGAGTATGGAGAAAATTGAAGAGGTAACCCATTTCCTAAATGGGACAAACTAAATTTCAGAAAACAGAAGACAGAGCATTGTTACACAGGGCTCAGCCATCCAGAGTCGGGATCTGGGATCTCTATCTTCTGGATCCTAAGCCTGGTTGGAGGGAAGGTGTGGGAGGTTACAGCTGTGGGGTTTTTTTGCAGGGGTTGGGTGGGAATCTGTAGTGTAAGTGTAATCACCCCCTTTCTATCTCTGCCCTACAGAAACATCGAAGAAACACCAGCAACGTACCACATTCACTCAAGAACAGTATGAAAAACTGGAGGCTCTGTTTGGCCAGACCATGTTCCCACATAAAAATCTCCAGAAGGAACTAGCTTTGGAACTCAACCTACCGGAGTCAACAGTGAAGGTATGATCCCCTGGGGTGTGCTTGCTACCCCATCCAAACCATAGTCTACTAGTCAACCTGCAAATTCCCTCTCTAACACAGTAATAGCCTTTCATTTAGTACCTACTGAACTGGTACTGGACTGGGCACATTGTATGTGTTGGCCTCACTATAATGCAGTTTGAAAGATAAGAAAAAAATTGAGGTTGAGGCAAAATGACTGGGTCACAGAGATAATAAGCAGTATAACTAGAATTAAAACTCCAGAAATATTGTTTTTAACACTTATACTGTAGAGCTCAAATAGAGGAAGGGCTTTGATACAGGTAAACTCCTTAGTCTTTTCAAGCAAAACCCTGCAATCTGTTTATTCATAACACTACCAAAAAAGAAATAACTCCCTCTTACCTCTGAGTCTGCTAAAGCCCATAACATTTTTGTTAGAGTATTCCTCATGGTGGAGGCTGCCTAAAATAATCCCTGGAAATCCTTCAGTTCAAACTCCCCACCTCTACCTAGATCCCTAAACTAACCTCTCTTCTCTAGAGTTCAGGACCCTGTCCTGACCCCCCAGCAAACCTCTGAAACACACCCCTTTCTTCCTTCCTTCCTGGGGTCCCAGTCCTGATCTTCATCATCCCTCCTATTCACTCCACTCTGCTCTTGCAGAAGCCAGTGTCATGGTGACTTGGAGAGGAGGACATGAAGGTCATCATCTGGCTGTCAAATGACTTCTTCATGAACAGACCACAATTTCCCCTCTTCCCCCACTCCCAGGTTTGGTTCAGGAACAGACGATTCAAATCAAAGAAGCAGCAGAAGAAGCAGCAAGAGCAGCAGCAACAGCAATCATCAAAGCAACCAAACCAGATTCTTCCAATGATGAATATGCCCACTTCATCCAGAATACTCACCCATCCTTACTCTTTTTTTCCTGTGGTTTCAGGTTTCTGCAGCTACTTTGCACCTCAGTCTTTGGATCCTTCCAATTGGGCATGTGGGTGTACCTTCACTGAGAGTCCCACAAGTGATTTCCAAATGCAGGATCTTCAGTTGGAGAGGCTGGTGGCCTCTGTTCCTCCTTTGTTCCCTGATGCTTATGACATAGGCCAAATCATAGAAATGTACAGTTTTCCTGATGAGGATGAGATATCCTGTTCCTTCCATTGTCTATATCAGTATCTCTCACCCACAAGGTCCCAGATATAAGGATAGGGTTCCTTGATCAGCACCCTTGCTATTCCAGCTGTAGGTCTATCTCCTAGGCAAGCCTGGTCCAGTATGAAGAGCCAAAGCTTTGAAGATTAAAGTCTAAGAGACAGCCTGGAATTCCGGAATACCTCCAATATGGTAGACTTTGGATTTCTCTGATCAAAGTACTAATAAATACCAGACCATTTAGAAGAGAGATCTTCTTGCCTCTTGTATATGACTCTTTTCTTTCCTTTGATTTTTTAACCCAAATGTCTGGGTCTTTGTCTCTTCGATTTCCATGGAAATGTTGTAATAACTAGAGTTTTCCACATATAGCTCAGCACTACACGATCAGCCTCATAATCCTCTCTGGGGAGAAGTCTTCCTAGTTCTTTAGCCAATGAGACTCCAAAATTCCCTCTTCCCAAAGCTGTCTTGGACTTTTTAAAAGAGGGACAGTGGCTTTTGGGATCATCCACTGTTCATGACAGAAGGTTATAAACTTATATTTTATTTCCAGTCTTTATGGCTGGAGGTTTTAAAAAGGGATTTTCAGTTCAAATTTGAGGAGAAATCATCATCACCATTAGTTTTAACATAGTTCAACAGTCCAGACATAGTAAGAAGTATAAAAACAGGCATAGGAGAGGGTAAAAGATTTTTGAAGATGGGATGATTATCTAGGGAAACTAACAAAATCAAACTTTTAGAATGATATTTTAGCACATTTTCCAGCTACACAATCAACAAAATTAATAGCATTTCTCAACACCAGTAATAAAGAAACTTGGTAAAATAAGTACCTCTCAATAAAAAATTTAAGGTATCTAGGAATTAACAAAGAAAATTAAGACCTCTGTGGAGAAAACTTTAAATCTTAAAAAAGGACATAGAAAATGTTTTCGATAAAAGGCATTTGAGGCCATAAAATAATTTTTATTTTTTTTAAAAATTCCTTTTCTTTCACTGTCTCTGAACGAAAATAATAAATTTAAAATGATTCAAGTCATACAAAGTGTGTTCTCCAAACATGGTAGAGAAGGAGCCTGAGTCTAATGACTCACGCCTGTAATCCCAGCTACCTGGGAGGCTGAGGTGGGAAGATCACTTGAACCCAAGAGTTTGAGGCTTCAGTGAGCTATGATCACACCACTGTACTCCAGCCTGAGCAAGAGGGTGAGACTCCATCTCTAAAAACAAAATAAAATTAAA